CAACTCTAACTCTCTTTTCAGTTTCTTTGTGATAACAAAATTTCCTTAATAAAGTGTAACAGTTGAAAAAAATCTCAATAAAACATGTGCATTTTAATTTTAGAACTGTACGAAATACTCAACTTTTAATCAGGAAAGTAATTAATATTTATTTGGTTTTGAAATTTACAAAAAACCGTTTTGAAAAGACGTTTATTTTCATATTTTTTCTACATAAATAAAATCTAAATGAGGCTTTCTATCTTCTACAATAAAAAAAAGGTATTTAATGACGATGTGAAGATCAAAAATTGAAAGATTAACTAAAATATAACCATTTTAAAAAAATTCCATTTTGAATTGCAATCTCTGCACTGAACGAACTTTTTCAGATACGGCCATATGCACCAACTAAGCAAAATTCAGTTTACAAAATTCATTCAGTTGGAAAATTTGGTTTAATTCGGAAAACTTTGCTTCTACAAATTCAAAGATGTAAAACCTAAACTTTTTACCTTAAAACTCCCCTTAATTTTTAAAAACTTCTTTTCAATAAAAAGAAGCTTTTTTTTTAAAAATCTTTTATTTTATATAGTTATATACTTACACCATGGCATACAAACGCACACAGATTTAAGTGAAAATCCCTTATCTAAAAAAATAAAAAAATTGTTGTTCTTATGAATTCTAATTTTATTCTGGTTAAAAGTATTATTCTGATAAAAATAGCAGGCTTAATTACAAGTTCAAAAAATAAGTAACCTCAATTACCACTAAAAAGTTACAAATCCTAAACAGAAACCGTTTCACCAAGATCTCATGTTGATCTTCCAGACCAACAACCACATATTTCCAAATTCCAGAAAATTTTCGGTTAAAAAGTTTGAAAGTCGCCCAACATGACACAAAATACCTACTTATAAATTTTTGAAATACTGAGTAAAATTTTCAAATTCTTCTCTTTTCAAAAACATTTCATTATTTCTTTATTAGAATTACAACCATCGGGTACACCATTAGCAAACAGCTATATTGCGAGATATAAAACTTTTGAAAATATTCCTCATGCGATGTTCAAAGTACCAACAAGCTACAGTTTGAAAACTAGAAGTGCTGAGAATGATTTAACAATCATCCAATTGTCTCATCATAATTTGTATGCATACTATATTAAGTTTCGCCATATCCCAAATCTTAGACTAATCATTTCTACAGAATTTGCTGTTGAATAACTCAGAAATGCTAACCTTTGGTTGCTTCTTTAAATTGTTTACAGAATGATAGTTTCGTTTCATCGTCATGATGTTCTTTCGGTACATTTTCGTATTCGTGATTCCTGCGCAAAAAAAAAA